TTAACACAAGAATGAGCAAAGAGGGGCAGCTGAAGATACTAATTTTTTTTACCCATTTTTATTATTATTATAATTATTATTATTATTATTATTATTATTATTATATATATATTATTATTATTAAAAATAATTACAAACAGGCCCAGATTATCTGGCCCAATTAAATTCAGATGGCCTAACTAAACCCTAAAAAACATATTAGGGTTTGATCTAACCCTAGCCGCCTCATCATCTCAGTTGTTGGATCTGAGAGATCCAACGGCCCACACTCCTCCAGATGCAAACCCTAGGGTATGATACCCTAGGGCCACGCGGCCGCCGCAGCTGCTCGCACCATCTCCACCGCTGCCACATCTCACCGAAGGCTTCCAGAAGAGCCACTCCAGCCGCACACGTCTCCCCCAAACGGTGAGTCACCACTGGAAGTCCGGTGACTCACCAAAGAACCCCTTTTGGACCGGTCCGAAGCCATCACCGGTGGTGGCTATAAAAGCCACCGAGCCCCCTGCCAACAAAAAAAGGAAAAAGAACGGAGAACAAAACAAAAACAAAACCACAACACAACAATCAAAAACAAAAGAAAAGAAAGGAGAGAAGCTTACCGAGGAAGCCACGACCGTCGGACCTCTTCAAACGTCACCAAAAACCTTCGAAGATCGAAGGTACTTTCTTAGATTTGCTCCGATCGGGAGCTATTTAAAAGAAAAGAACACCGGAACCGTCATTAGGACGGTCCAATCTACTTTTTAGTGTAAAAAAATTTTTTCCGGCCACCGGAGGCGGTGGCCGGCGGCGGGGTCAACACCGACGAACGGCTGCCGGCCGGTGTGCTTCTCTCTATTTTAGAGAGAAGCGAGAGAGAATTTTGAATTCTCTCAGAAAAGAGAGAGAGAGAAGAAAGGAAATGAGAGCTGGCCCTTCGGGCCAGCTGGTTTCGGGCTTTAAATAGCCCTTCCCAAACGACGTCGTTTCGAGGAGGGCTATTAGTGTAATTAACTAAGGGTTAAATCCCGTCCGCAGTCCCTTGACTTGTAATTCTTACATTTTAGTCACTAAATCAAATTTATAATCCTTTTAATTTGGTCTCTAAATTTTATTTATTTATATTTTGGCCCTTAACCGTAATTATAAATATTTTAGATAAAATACGTATTTAGTCCTTTAGTTTTAATAAATAATATTTTAATCCTGAGTATTTATTTTTAATCTGATATTCGAATTTTATATAATTTTATTTTAGTCACCAAATTAATAAATAAGGAAAATAACATGTTTAATCCCTATAATTTTAAATAATTAATTATGAATTAGGTATTTAATTTTAATTTTATTATAATTTAGTCACTAATTTTAAATATTTTCATTTATTTTACTGCTTTTAAATATATAGTTCTAATTGTATTTTTATTTTAATTTTACTTGTTTATATATTTAAATATTATTTTTATTATTGTTATATAGTCATATAAATATATATATAATAAATAATAATTTATTTTTTTTACATAAATTATTTTTATCATATTTATTTATTTATTTTTCAATATCGAAGAAAAGGGCAGTCTTAATACAACTGGATGTCCTATTCTGGTATTTCAAAATTAAATATTATAAAAAATTATAATTTAATTTAAATTATTATATTAATATTTATTAATATCGAAGAAAAGAGCTGTCTTAAGGCACCTAGAAGTCCTTTTCTGATATTTCTAAATAAATAAATATTTTATTTATAAATATATATAAATTATTTTTTTCTAATAATTATAATTTTGAAATAATAGAATTATAAATTAAATATATTTTGAATTTTTGAATTTCTAATAATAGAGACAATTTATAATTAAAAAGTACCAATTTTGGGCGTTGTAGGGGTGCTAAACCTTCCCTAAACGTAACCGACCACGAATCCCTTTTTATTATTAAAAAGAACGAATTTTTGGATAAAACGCAGATCAGTTTATCTTTTAATTGATGCTTTCTAAAAAAACTCTTTTAAAAGATATTTTTTTAGGTATTCGACCTACCTGACCCAAAAGGTCGATGGCGACTCCCAAATTATTTTAAAAACCATTTATTCACATCACTTTTCCCGCCAAGTAAAAAATTCGTGCCCGGATAAAAACCGGTTACGACAGCTTGGAGGTCCTAAATTTATATTAATGGGTTGACGAGAATTAACGATAAAGGGTTTGATTAATATTATCTAAAATTATAACGTAAAAATCAAAATCATTCCTTTGTTTTTAATTGGTGACCAAAATCGGACGGATAAAAAACATAAACGACTACTCATATAGTTTACTTTGTTATAAATTAAGGGGTTTGATTAATATTATCTAAAATTATAGTATACAATTTTGAATTTAAATATCAAAGATATTATTTTATTATGTTATAAATATTACGGATAAATTATAATCTAAAATTGCAAATATGATGTAATATAAGATATACATAACATCTCATTCTATTTGAAATCTTTGATTGTGGTCCTATCTTAAAAACATAACATCAATATATAAGTAATTTTTAAAAAATAGAAATAACTAATTTTATTAAGAAGTATAAAATATCCAAATTACGATAAAAGTTTATAATTAAAATCGCAAATTAAACATATAATTGAGATGTTATCCTATAATCATTAACACAAGAAATTAGTCACTCAAAATCATATAAAGACCATACAAGAAAAAGGTGAAAACTTCATCCAAAAAAATTCAAACAAAAGGTAGATACAAACAGATATGATTGTTACGATAAATGAACCACAACAGGGATTTAACTACTGAGACTACCGACAAAACGCAAATCAAAGCCAAACATCGTGAGAAAACTATCTACTATTGCAGGTTATGTATTCAAATTCAATTCGAGAGTCCAAAACAAGAAGATTATCGAGATAACAAATGAGTTATATTCTGATCGGTCATGGCAACGTTAAATCTAATTCTAAAAAAAATGACAAATGATCGAAAAAAACATATCAAAATGCGAAGAAAAATATAACATAAAAACAAAAATATCGTACCATAAAAATAGAGTTGTTAGAAACTAAAAAAAATACAAAATAAAAATAAAATATCGACAACGACAACCAACACTAAGTCTTATACTATAGTTTTCTCTTTCGAAATCTTTCTAGTAACATTTAAACCTTATATTTTTCTCTTCAATTATTGATTTAACTATTATTGCATATCTTTTAAACACTGAGCGTTGTTTATTATAAGCATTCATTTAACTCACAAAAACATAATCACGTATTAATTAATACATTAAAATCATATTTATCATATATCCCAAATGAACTCATAGCACAAACGATCTTGGAATTTATCACTATCAGTATTTTATCTCTATTTTTATGAGAATCATCAATATGCTCAAATACATTTAACATAGAACTTTTAGCATCAAAGCACATCATACCTTGACTATACCTTTTGATTATTTGATATGATTTCGCTATCGATTCTCGATTTAGTAATTATAAATTTCATGGATAATAACCATACATTAGCATAACACTCAATATAGTATAAAAATGAACTTTAACATCAAATCAACTACACACTTAATTGAATCTATCAAGTGACTTCAATAGTAAGAGAGAGTGTTATTTTTCTTAGAGATTTAAGGTTTGGATAATTGCGTCTGCAACATGTGTATACGTTGTCAGAAAAAAACTCGAAACCCATTTAATTTATTGCTTTTAATGTGCTTCATATAATTGATTTACTCAATAACATCTTACACAATAACTTTCTCTTTCTCCTTTCTTTTGGAAACTCTAACTTCTTTTTGAGCTTTCCAACATCACATGGACACATAAAAACACATTTTCATTTCAACATCTAATAATCTAACAACATGCATGAACATAGAATAAATCTTAAAATATAGGTTTTCCTTACCACCTTACTTGGACTTGAATTACTAGCACCAAATGGAAGCTTAAACAACAAGATTTCTAAATATATGCTCGGGTTTCACATGCACCTAATAGTTTCTTGAATTTTTAGACTTTCTCACTCTAGGGTTTAAGGTTCCAACAATGGTGCCTTTTAATGGTTGAGAAGAAAAAGATTAGTGGAATAGCTTGGGTAAATGCACTCAAAATAAGGGTTTTAAACTAAATATTTTTTTAATGAAATGGGTTTCAAAAGAAAATAAAAGAAATTAGAAAATAGATAAAAGTTAACAAGTACCATATTTTCCTACTATCATCAATTTAAGGAATAATCACACTTATATCTTCAATTTCTTTTAAATAATTTGTGCCATTTCAAAATAGTTATAAAGCAAGAACCAATTAAAGAAACTAAGGAAAAAGTTGGAGAATGTTGGCAGAAGGTTGTGTGGGGGAAGCCTTGCTAAACCTAGTCACTCCTACATTATTTGGTTAGCTATTTAAGATAGGCTTGCAACTAAAAGTAGAATGATTTCTTAGGGTTTGTCTATTAATCTTGAGTGTGCATTATACCATGAAGAAGATAGAACAAGAGAATACTTATCTTATGTTACAATTTTTCAAAGTAATTCTATTGATGCATTCTAAATAGACATGAACTGAACCTATTGAACGACTACAGAGACAAAATAAAATGTTGTTTTCTCAAGAAGTTTCAAGTTCAAATAATTATATCTATAGGGTGTATGTTCAAAAAATAGATATGATCTACGTTATACTAAACTCTTGACAGAGAGTTTTACTCATTTTAACGATTATACTAATCAAATGAAATAATTTATTGATTGTTATAACCACGTCACTCAATTACAATTAAAAATTTATACACTTAAAGTGGTATATTTGTAACAATGGATTAATTATGTAAATTTTTAAAATTAAGTACCTTATTTGTAATCCTACACATAATTGAGTGACTTGTGATGTATTTTCCCCTAACTACATTTTCCCTTCATTATATTCCTTTTCTCGAGGCTCATCGTTTCGTCCCTAACCGGCAAGCTGCAGAGACCAATTTCCTGACCGTTTATTTTCTCATTTGCTCAAAAAGAAAAGGAAAGATTAATCCAAAATTCAAAATGCGAGCTCAGATCACTCCAGAGCCTTCACTTTCTTTGTCTTCGATCCAAATCAACTCTCGCAATCCTAATCCATCCCGCATTCCGACCTCGCTTCGTTTCTTGAATGAGAATGGCGGACGCCGTTTGATCGGACGAAAACTGCGTTTGATCACCACGAAAGCTGTTTTGGACTCTGCAACTATTGAGAAATTAGGGCTTAATGAATCCGATATTAAAAACCCGGCGATTTCTTCAACGTATCGAAACTCTAAGTTGCCGAAGCCGAACCAGACTGTGCTGGAAGCTCAAGCTAGGGTTTGCACTGGACCCACTCAGACCAGATCGCTCTCCGAGGAACAGGCGTTTAAGGTTTTGGACACCATTTTAAGATCAGGTCAAGTGTTCTTTACTCTGTTTCTCTTATAACTAAAACCTACTTTTATTATCATTTTCCAAGGTATTAAATTATCTTAAAGTTAATTAAAGGTTGCTTTAGTAAAGCGATTTGCATTTTTCAATTCATTTATTTTAAAACTTAGGAATTTGCATGAAGGTTTAACAATACAATGACTAGGAATTTTCTTTTTACAAAAATGATTTTAATGCATAAGGATCCTTAATTGTAAGTCGTAACTTATTAATTCTTTTGCAATATCATAGTGTTTCACGTGTTTTTTCCCATTTAGTAGATGACTTTGATGCTTCAGGGAAACCTTCTATCACTAGATTAAGTGATAAGTTTGTATTATTAACTGATTATTTCTCATTCAGTAACATGTTTTGCATATATTGACAGTTAGGGGAGAACTAAAAGACGAAGAACAAGTCTCGAAATCTCAACTTGGAGCGTTCTTTGCTGGAATGACAATCCGTGCAAATGTTTTCCCTGAAGCAACTCAATGGAGTGAAGGCGAAAGGTGTGCAATGAAGAAATTTTGGCCACAACTAGTACGAGTACTACCACCTGATGTTATCTTCATTGCTGATCCCGAAGGGTCTATAATGGGATTTGGAAGTGCAGCTGGACCACATTTTGTTGGGAATGGAACAAGTGAGATGAGATTGGTTGGTGCACTTAGAGAAATTTTGGCTGGAGGTCACCTTGGATATGAGGAAGTCCAAGGTGTTCTGAAAGATGCTTTTGCATTGAAATTGGAAGATGGAAAATCCACTGGAGTAAGTGAATCATTGCTTTCAGCATTCTTAATTGGTCAACGTATGAACAGGGAAACAGATAGGGAACTTAAAGCATACTGCCTCACATTTGATGATGAACTTGGTATGTGATTTGCATTTTTAACTTTTTTTTTTGGAAACTTTGTTAGAATGCTGCTTTTGAAGTGATTGAGTAATATCGACTGAATGAAATTTATTATCTTCTGATTAATCTATCATGTGAACTCAGGTCCCACTCCAATTGCTGACGTTAGATCCTTAACTCATTATGGTGAACCTTATGATGGAAACACGCGATACTTTAGGAGCACATTGTTTGTTGCTGCTGTTAGATCCTGTTATGGTGAATCTTCCTTGCTTCATGGTGTGGAATGGATGCCACCTAAGGTAAGTTCTCAGTATTCCTGTGCCGTGTGAATCGTTTTCTTTAGTATTCATGGAAAATAAGAATTAGGTGTTAATGTTCCAACTGCTGCAATTCATCTTCTAAGGACAAGTTCATCTGAAAGTACAACTTCCTTTTGCTGTTACAAAATTGTTCTGAATTTCAAAATATAGTGTCAATGCTTGTACCGCTTTTGCACACTCGTCATTTCTAATGTTTAACTGATCATGAGGAAATCTTCCTTCTCTCAGGCGGGTGTGACGGAAGAACAAATGTTGAAATTTATGGGAGCAAACACAAACTTATCCTTGCATCAAGCAAAAGAGCTTATTGAGGTTGGTTCTCACTTACCTTCTCCCTTTCTCCTTTCCCCCTCCCGCTTGTTTCTCTTTCATTGCTGAAACTTTTATAATCATTATTTCAGGATGAGGAGGTTGGTTTTGCTTACATAAGTCTACGTGAAGCTCGCCCATCCCTGTATAGTCTACTGTCTTTTCTCTTTCTTTTACATTTTTTTGGTCCATGCTCCATATTGCAATAAAAAAAATTGGGAAAAATCTAAAAGGAAGTTGGAATAAGTGAATAAGGGCTCAACATACTTAATTTTAACGTTTGAATCTAGTTCCATGATGTGTGATATTATTATATCTTCTCTATTTTAAGTGAATATGATCTTATTCCATGATGTGTGATATTTTCACTTATAGCCAATTTATAAGAGTACATCTTTTCAACTGCCAAGTGAATATTGCTTCAGATTATATCTTCTCTATTTCAGGAATCATGATGTGTGATATTTTCAGAAACTTGATGACTTTTAAATTATATTTCCTTTGTATGAAGTTCTACATATGATCTACTTGAAAGCCTGGGCACCTAAGACATAGATCTCATTAAATTTGATTGTTCGTCAAATATAGATGTAATTAAATACTTAGTTCAACAACTGTATTAGTTGATAGTCTATTGAGTTAAAGTGGTTTCTTGTTCTGAAACATAATATTATTAAATTTTAACTCTTTAAGATTTTGGGTTTTCACTTTTCAGTGAAAGGATTGAACTTGATTTGGTTAAGAACTGTATTATGGCATAACCGCTTATGTTTATTTCCTATTAATATAATGACAGAGTTAAGATTTCTTTTAATGATTTCTTAGATATTCATTGATTGGATTGAGGGAGCAGATAAAGAAACGTCCACCACTGGCAACAACCGAAAAGGTTCAGCAATTTATTAGGGTGAGTATATATGTGGATAGCAATGCTGCTTGCGTTCATAGTTTAATATATTGCACATATTATGTATATGCATTTATGTATATGTTGGGTTCTTTCATGGCATCTTGTGCTGCAAAGCCTTATTCTACATTGATTTTTATTGTATGCAAATTTACGATGTTCCTAACGTAGGCTGGTGTGCTTATTTCACAATGAATGTTGTTTCTTTAACAGGCAAAGGGGAGGGAATCAATTGTTGCAGGATTCTATCATGAAGGCTATGAGGAGCCATTGTTAATGCTTATGAAAAGAAGAGGTGTGCATTCTGGTTTGGTAGTGAAGGTAAGAACATTTTGTTAAATGCAAAAATGTTTTGGTTTTGGAGTAGAGAAGAATAATTTAGGACTTATCTTTCTTGATATTCAATACATCTTGATTTGATTTAAATTCCAAAAGAACTCAACAAATAATCCGAGCGAAACACTTAAATGTTCGATACTGCTTTTAATTAAGGGTGAAGAAGGTGCCCTCTCAATGACAACTAGGTTGCGATCATCAAGCACATCAAAAGGGGTTCCTGTGAACTATTGTTCAGGTTTTCGTTCGGTTGACATGGAATCAGCTTGTGAAGTGGATGGTTCGTATATAGCTCTGTCTGGAATCCATTTCGAAAGTTATCTGAATGTCTAACAGAAATAAGATTATAAGCAGGATTTTAATGCCGTCCTGTATCCTAACATTGCAGGTGTATCACGTCAGAGTTTCAAGCTCGAGGTTAATGCAATGGACTACGGTTTTGAACCAACTGACACTCCAAGAACTGATAGATCGGTAAAATTCAAAAACTCTTGCTTTATATCCCTCTTCTAATAGGCCACCAGATAGTTTGGATCATGTTTAATGACCATGTTTGATATAATATATCAGGTATCAAAGAATATAGAGTTGGGTTTGGCAGCTCTTCAGGGTGAAAAAGGGCCGGCATATGACCGGATTGTTTTGAATGCCGGAATTGTTGATCATTTACTAGGATGTGATGGTGCAGAAGATGTGTCCTTAGCTTTGGAAAGAGCAAAAGAAGCCATTGACAGTGGTAAGGCCCTCAAGAAGCTCCTGAATTATATAAAAATGTCCAACAAGGTAAAATAATGCAATATGAAGCAGTCTTACAGATCTTCTCTTTTTTTCTGTTTTTTTTTTTAAATTATTAATAGCATTGAAATCTTGTACCTTGAAAAAGATGAGTTGAAAACCCAATGTTATTGATTAATTAACTTCTAATCAGGCATAGATTCTTTATACACTATCCTCAAAAGTCGTTCTGTTTTTAATCTGGAAATGTCAGTTTTGATGGGTATCGGATGTATGAAAATTAGTTCGGTCGGAATGTATTTAACTGATCTCAAATGAGATATAGTTTGGTTCTGTTTAATTGATTTCTAATGAAATACTAATCTAACTCATGATGGTATCGTAGTTGAAATAATCAAATCAGTATTTTCATTTTGGTTATTTAGTAAGGATGATTAGGATCAGGTAAAATATTTGGTCTCAGTGGCAAAGAATGATATGTTCTACTGATTAGGGTTTGAACAGTTCTATCTACCAGATGAAACATGACTATTATGAGACCAAATTCTAGTGTAAAAGAATCTTTATAATATAATTAATATATCTATTCCATGAAACAAGCAAAAATACTTGAATATTGTGGTGAAAAAAATTGTTTGAATAAGGTGCACTAGAAATTGTTTCATAATTTAGAGTGATTGTTACAGTGACTCTAAAATTCATCAGGATTACATGACGATTTCATGATCCCGCGTTGACTGCACGATGATTTATGCTCTTTTGCATCGTCTATTATATACTGGATTGGATTGCATTGATTATATGATGGGAAAGTCGTTGGGCAGTCTACACGCTTTCTAAGTCCCTAGATAATCCACACATTTTTCAAAAGTATATAATTTGGACGAAATTCATCAAATACTATAACAAACACCCTAATTCAAAAAAAAAATCTAATACACTATCTTCATTTCATCACATTATTCCACTAATTTTACCCATGAACCAAGAATCGATTAATTATTCTAAATTAAATAAATAAAAACTAATATTGATGATTGGTACAAAATCCAAACACATTCCATCAGCAACATTATCACCAACGATATTATAATCAATGCTACAGAAAAAGCATTTGCCATCCATCATAAGGCATCTAGCGGCAAAAGTTCCAATATAATGCATGTGAGAAACTTTAATTCCCAAGATAATGTTATCCGGCGATTATTTCTAAATGGGTGTTTGCTACAGAAAAAATGCAAAGGTTGGGATATCTCGGCGTTTTTAGTGTGTTGCATTCTACTTGAACCTTTCGGCGTCTTCAACTATTGTTCAACTATTGTTGGATATCTAGGCGTCTTCATTGCTATGTTGGATATCTAGGCGTCTTCAATGCAAACTTGGATATGTAGGCGTCTTCCATGAAAATTCCATGCAACTTTAACATGGTTTGGCAGCCATGAAATTTGCATCAAAATAAGGAAACTATGGGAAGAAAAAACAAATAAAGAAAAATTAATCAATAATGCTCGGCATAAAGCAACACTTATTTGATTTAAAATAAAGCAAAAGAAAGGGGATAGGATTTAAAACAAAGCAAAGTTTTATAGTGAAACAATAATGCATGAGAATCTCTTCATTGTGAAGCAATGGGCATCAATTTGTTAATTAATTTTTATAATTTTTAGATTATATTCGATTCAATTACTCGAGTATATATACATATTTATTACTTTTAACTCCTTACTGAAATGAAATAATAATTTAGTAAAATTTAATAATAATGATTTAATCATTATTAAATTTTAACTACTAATGATTTAATAATAATAATGTAATGATTTGATATAAATGATTACTAATTAAATTCATGATTAGTTTAGTAAAAATGATACTAATAATGATTTACTAATTATTAATTTAATGATTTGATATTTAATGATTTAATAATGATATGATTTAGTAATGATTTACTAATAATGATACTAATATGTTTTATTATTAATATTTAATGATTTGATATAAATGATTTAGTAATGATTTAAAATAATGAAATTGTAATAATTATTAATAATGATTTAATATTATTACTAATAACTATTTAGTAGTAAAAAATCCAATTTAATAGTAATGATAATCGATTCAATTACTTCAATTTGATACAAATAATTCGAATAATGATTACAACTCTTGACGGTGTCGGGGTATTGTTGAGTAATAATGTCGAGGCGCACATCGGTTTCGTTGTGGTCGTTGCACTTGTTCAGCAGTTTGTTCATCATAACTAACCTGCTCATTCATCGAGGGCATATGTTCCGGTGTTGTAAATATTTGCCCACCTCTACTATGCTCTCCCATCTGAGGACAAATACTCGTATTTGTCATCATAGATGTCATCTGATCAAAATCATTTGTTGCCCCAAACATGGAGAGAACATGAGTGATTGATGAGGAACATGCTAAGAAGTGTTGGGCGTAACATCGGAATCACTAACCACTTGACTAAATGATCTTGTGTGATCAAAAGATTCTGGTGGGATATTATACATTGCCTCTTATTCTGCTCACGGTGAGAAGAACTCCCACTCACACTCTAGTCCTTCTTGGTTTCTCGGGTTTACCAAATTTTTTCATATGAGTTTATGGTCTTCACCGTTCAATTAATGCACTGATCAAACTGAGGACCAACCAAAATTATCTTACAAAAGCGACATCGTAAAAACTGACTATTTTCAAATTATCGACAATACGTTGATCTGGCATCTCACAATTGACAAGTTGAGGACGAATGACTCGTTGTTCGTCATCCTGAAATTTGTTAATCCATGTAATTAGAATTAATTCATCGTTCTCAAATAAAAAAATAAGTCGATCATATTACCAGTTCTCCAAAATGACTCGAAATGTGTCGACCATCTAGCCTCAAAAGAACATTTTCTTATGCAATGTTTTAACAAATCTACACAAAATAATTATTAGTAATAATTATTAAATCATTATTAGTAATTATTATAATTTAATTATTTCGAAATCATTACTAAATCATTTATATCAAATCATTAAATATTAATAATAAAACATTATTACTAAATCATTCATTATTAAATCATTAAATATCAAATTATTAAATAAATAATTAGAAAATCATTACTAAATCATTACTAATCATGAATTTAATAATAATTATTACTATCATATCATTACTAAATCATTAAATATTAAATCATTGCTAAATCATACTCTTACCTACCAGCCACAAACCACCAACCTACCAGGATATTAATGGATAATTAATAACACCAACCAGTAACATACTCGAGTTATTACTTAATAACAAAATCATAAATATAGTTCATTCTTTAAAATCAAAAAAAAAAATTATCTAATTAATTTCTATTTAAAAATGAAAATGATGGAACAATTATAAAAATTACATAAAACTTACTAAATATTCGATTTATTTCTTACTTTGTTCGAACTTTTTTCTCCTTTTTTCCGAAATAACTCTCGAACATGTAAGCTTCTTCTCCTCTCTTCTAACTTCTCTCGAACTCACACTCACTCTCCCAGACACCAATATCCTCTTATTTATAAATCATATTCGGTGCATTAACATCATTATTGCTTTACATGCATATCATGGAGTGATTTCCATCCCCCAACCCCATGCAAAATTTTCTTTTGCATTATTACATGCATTATTGATTCGCTTTTATAAAATTTATGTTGATCCCGTCACCTTTCTTTGGCAATGCTTTTGTTTTGTTAAATGATGCTTTATAAAATGTATGCTTTTATAAATTTCCTTCTAACAACACCTTTCTTTTATAAAATTTATGCTTTTGTTTAATGATGATCCCCGACCCCAATGCTTTTGCAAAATTTTATAAAATGTACGCTTTTATAAATTTTGCTTTGGCATTACTGATTTGCTTTTATAAATGTATGATGATTATGTTTCCTAGTTTTGCTGCAAACTCCAGCCAAAACACATGAAAGACGTCTAGATATACAACGAGCATGGAAATTGTCAGTTTGCATGCAAAGACGCCAAGAGATCCTATTTTACATGGAAATTGTGTTGAAGACGCCGAGACATCCTCGAACAAATGCAAAATTGCTTAAGACGCTGAGTAATCTGTTGAAGACGCCGAGAGATGCATGTTTCCTCTGTCAATCGCCCCATTTGGGGAAATAATCGCATTACAACATTATTTTGGGAAATAAAGTTTCCCACTTGCATTATCGTGGAAGTTTTGCTGGCATCTAGCACTACTTTTGTCAATAAGCTAAATATAATAAATAACACCCCAAATAATTGGCAAAAGTTCCAATATAATGTATGTGGGAAACTTTAATTCCCAAGATAATGTTATCATGCAATTATTTCCCCAAATGGGGTGTTTGCTACAGAAAACATGCAAAGGTTGGGATATCTCGGCGTCTTTAGTGTGTTGCATTCTACTTGAACCTCTCGACGTCTTCAACTATTGTTGGATATCTAGGCGTATTCATTGCTATGTTGGATATCTAGGCGTCTTCAATGCAAACTTGGATATGTAGGCGTCTTCCATGAAAATTCCATGCAACTTTAACGTAGTTTGTCAGCCATGAAATTTGCATCAAAATCAGGAAACTATGGGAAGATGAAACAAATAAAGAAAAATGAATCAATAATGTTGGGCATAAAGCAACACTTATTTGATTTAAAATAAAGTAAAAGCAAAAGAAAGGGGATGGGATTTAAAACAAATCAAAGTTTTATCAAACAAAAGTGAATCAATAATGCACGAGAAGATCAGTAATTCCAACCACTGCCATTCTATTTGTAGGAACACCGAGTTGTAAAGCCACATCTTCCAAAGTGATCGTACATTCACCATACGGAAGATGAAAAGTATGAGTTTCTGGTCTCCACCGTTCAATTAATGCACTGATCAAACCGGGGACCAACTGAAATTCTCTTACAAAAGCGCCATCATAAAAACCGACTATTTTCAAATTATCAACAATACGTTGATATGACATCTCACAATTGATAAGTCGAGGAAGAATGACTCGTTGTTCGTCATCCTGCAATTTGTTAATCCATGTAATTAGAATTAATTCACC